TGTAACCAGAGGCACATTTATTCCTGGTAATCTCCACGAACCATCATACCACTCATAGGATCGTGGGTATAAAGGTATGATGGGGGATGTTGGAAAAGGGTTTTCAGCAGGAGTATTTGGATGTTATTGATGGGGAGCAGAAGTAGATGAGTCAGGTTAAGTTATATGTGGTTGAGGTTGAGATTGTGTAGGGATTATAGTATCAAAATTGTCTATGTCGGATAGAACTTGATCAATTTAAGGATTATTTTGGAGGGGCTCAGAAGGAATAGTGAGGTCTATGTCTACTTCTATATCTCATAGAGTTTGGGGTTCATCGGATGGTGATATGCGTACATAATCACAAACAAAAATTGTTTTAGTGGATGTACCTGGAGATTTCTTCTTCTTCTTCTGAGGACGTGCAGAAGGGCCTTCTCCTGCTTGCTTTTTCTTTTGCTTCTGGATGAAAACATCTAGAGAACGTAAATTTCTTCCTTGAAGCTATGCGGGGTCAATGGGAATGCCACTTTCCTTGCAAGCTTCAATGAAGTGCATAATGATCTCAGGATGATTACTAGAGTTGAAGAGAGGAAAATCTGCAATGGGGATTCTCCTTCTGGTGACAGCTGCTGATACGTATGGAGTAGGTTCGACCAGAAGTTTGTCAACCAGCTTCCTTTTCAGTAGGTTCTTCCCAGTCATAGCTTTTCCACACGTGGGCTCCAATTCACCAAGCAAGTTGGCATCCTCTAAATGAGCTATCAGACCATTCTCAGTCAGAATGTCTGAGATTAATCTTCCAAGAAGGATCCAGTTTCTCTTTGACTTAGGACTTTTGACCCTTTCAGCTTCCCTGGTTTCCTTGACATGCGTCCAGAGGTGGTTGAACAGAAGATAGGGCAGATCAATCTTCACATTTGTGCCAAGACAGAATAGAAGGTATTGTTGGTCAACATTGATGTAGTCAGGAGAACTAGTTTCCGTCATGTGATGAATGCGGCCATGAATGATTCTTGCCCAGATTTTATACTGGTTCTTCAAATCTCTGACTTTGTTGGAAGCTTGCCCAATAGTAAAGATTTCAGCATAAACTTTGGACATATCCATTCGTCCACCAGAGATTCCAGTAACACCATTTTCTTCAAAGCCTAGAAGTCTCCTATTGAGATTCTCAGTGATGGAAATATCTTTTCCCATGACAAATGAAGGGATGACCTTTGGAGAGGCAATGGCATGAATCCATAATTCCTTGACTAGATGAGAAAACACTAGTCAAACAAGACGATCAAAGAAATTTTGCCACCCTTGGAATTCCACCACCGGAAACAAGTCAAACCTATTTTCTTTCAGATTATCAAAATCGACCATAAGTTCACTCACCACTTCCAAGCTATCAACAGGTATGAGCGTTGTTCTTTCAGGAACGACATATCTTTCTGCATGTTGAGAGCTGCTTGATGAAATATGAATGCTCTTGGAAGGAGATGAAGATGAAGCCATTTGGAGTGTTTAGGTTTAGGATTTGAAAAAAATAGAGAGAGTTTTGCACAAAAACACAGAGGCGATTGAAACTTAGAGAGAGAGAGAGAGAGTAAAAATTAAAAGAGGGGAATTTTGCAAGGTATTTATAGCTTGAGAAATTTTTTGGGAAATAAAACCAATAAAGAATTTTGAACGATTGAAATTAAAAAAAAATCATTACTAGAAATTAATGAAATATGACATTGAGGGGAGGCGTGAGATTTTATCAAACCTGAACAGTTACCTAGGAACGTCGTCTCAATAGAAGCGCACACATGCATGACCTTTCAGAGTTGAAACACGCGTTCAACTTCTGAGGGTAGCTTGTGACAATTGGTTTAATATAATGAACTTCTGAGCCATTCGTGTAATGAAACGTTAGACACATTTCAGAACATGATGAATGGCTTCTGATGTAACTCCTCTTATCACTTCTGAAGAGTAATTAATCAGAACATTCATTTCAGAACATTCTGGAAACACATAAAGAGAAGAAAAAATTTCATTCAGGACAAAATTCCATACTGATGTTTTTCAGAATGAATTTAAATTTATCTTCAGAAAGGGGTTTTATGAAAATATCAGCCCATTGATGGTCTGTGTCTATGAAGTTTAAACTTAGGATTCCTTTCTGAATGTAGTCCCTTATGAAATGATGTTTAATTTCTATATATTTTGCCTTAGAATGTAAGATGGGATTTTTTGAAAGACAAATAGCAGAGGTATTATCACAGAAGATAGGAATCTTACTTTCATATAGATGATAATCTTCCAGCTGGCTCTTCATCCAGATCATCTAAGTGCTACATCCAGCAGCAGATATGTGTTCAGCTTTAGTGGTTGATAGGGAAATAGTGGCCTGCTTGTTGTTGTACCATGAGATAATGTTATCACCTAGAAACTGACAGCTTCCAGAGGTGCTTTTGTATTCTATTCTATCTCCAGCAAAGTCAGCATCACAATAACCTACTAGTTTAAAATCATTGGATCTTCTGTAACACAGTCCAAGGTTAGTAGTACCTTTTAGATACCTCAGAATTCTCTTAACAACAGTTAAGTGAGATTCTCTAGGATCTGATTAGAAATTTGCACATAAACATACACTGAATAATATATCTGGTCTAGATGCAGTCAGATAGAGAAGAGATTCAATCATACCTCTGTAGAGCTTCTGATATATTTTCTTACTTACCTCATCTTTTCCCAAAATGCATGTAGGATGCATTGTTGTCTTTTCTTCTTTACTTTCTGAAAGCTGGAATTTCTTCAGAAGTTCTTTAACATACTTTGTCTGATGTATGTAAGTACTTTCTGGAGTTTGATTAATTTGAATTCCCAGAAAGAATTTCAGTTCTCCCATCATGCTTATCTCAAATTCAGCCTGCATAGACTCAGCAAATTCTCTTCTAAGAGAGACATTAGAAGTTCCAAATATAATATCATCTACATATATTTGACAAATTAAAATGTCATTTTTAAATATTTTTCTGAATAAGGTTGTTTCCACTTTCCCTCTGGTAAAATTCTTTTCTAAAATAAAATTACTCAGACTTTCATACCAAGCTCTGGGAGCTTGTTTCAGACCGCACAGAGACTTTTTCAGTTTAAAAACATGTTATGGAAATTTTGGGTCATCAAAACCCAGAGGTTGGTGGACATAAACTTCTTCTTCTATGTAACCATTTAAAAATGCACTTTTAACATCCATTTGATATAATGAGATGTTGTGTTGAACAGCAAAAGAAATTAACAATCTAATTGATTCTAACCTGGCGACTGGGGCAAAGGTTTCATTATAGTCAATTCTTTCTTGTTGACTGTACCCTTGTGCAACCAGTCGTGCCTTATTTCTGGCAACCTCTCCTTGCTCATTCAACTTGTTTCTGAATACCCATTTTGTTCCTATGATATTGAATCCTTTATGCTTTGGAACTAGATCCCACACATCATTTCTTGAAAATTGATTTAGTTCTTCTTGCATAACTAGGATCCAATCGTTGTCTTGCAGAGCTTCCTCTATTGAGGTTGGTTCAATTAGAGAGACCAAACCAAATAGTGATTCTTCAATGTTTCTGAAAGAGGATCTTGTTCTGATGGGATCTTCTTTCTTTCCAATAATCACATTTTCTAGATGTGCTGATGTGACTTTGGGGAATTTATTCTGTGAGGGTTGTTCAGAAATTCTTAGATTTTCCAGAGCGTTCTCAATAGGAGGGTCTTTTGAGATGTCCTTTCCTTCTAACTCTTCAGAGTTTGTAAGATGATCTTCTGTACCTGCAGGATTTTCATTCTGCTTTGGCTTTTGCTGACCAAGCTTATCATCAAATCTGACTTTGATTGATTCTTCAACAATCAGAGTTTCTGTGTTGTATACCCTATAGCATTTTGAGCATTCAGATTATCCAAGCAGAAAGCACTTTTATGCCTTAGAATCAAACTTGTTCAGATTATCTTTAGTATTCAGAATATAGCAAGTGCATCCAAAAGGATGGAAATATGAAATTTTGGGTTTTCTATTTTTCCACAATTCATAAGGAATCTTTTCAAGAATAGGTCTTATAGAGACTCTATTTTGAACATAACATGTTGTGTTCACTGCTTCTGCCCAGATGTTTTTATCCATATTAGTTTCATTAATCATGGTTCTGGCCATTTCTTGCAAAGTTCTATTCTTTCGTTCTACAACTCTATTTTGTTAGGGAGTTCTAGGACAAGAGAAATCATGAGAAATTCCATTTTCTTTAAAAAACTTTCCAAAATAATGGTTTTCAAATTATCCTCCATGATCACTTCTAACTTTTATGATTCTAAAATCTTTTTCATTTTGCACTTGAATGCAGAAGTCGAAGAACACAGAATGTGACTCATCCTTGTGTTTTAAAAACATAACCCATGTCTATCTGCTGTATTCATCAACAATGACCAATCCATACTTCTTGCCTCTGATGGATGCAGTTTTAACTGGTCCAAACAGATCAATGTGAAGAAGTTCCAACGGCCTAGAGGAAGAAACAACATTTTTTGACTTAAAAGAAGGTTTTGAAAATTTTCCTTTCTGACATGCTTCACAAAGAGCTTCTGATTTGACCTTCATATTGGGAAGTCCCCTGACCAGATTGAGTTTGTTAATTTGAGATATTATTCTCATGCTAACATGTCCCAATCTTCTGTGCCATACCCATTGCTCATCGCTAACAGACATAAGGCATTTTACATTTTGAGATTTAAGATCAGAAAGATTAATTTTATAGATGTTGTTCTTTCTCTTGCCAGTAAAAAGGATTGATCTATCTTTTTGACTAACAACTCTACAGGATTTTTGATTAAAGATTATGTCATAACCGTTGTCAGTTAATTGACTTATGGACAACAAGTTATGCGCTAATCCTTCTACCAACAGAACATTAGTTATAGAAGGAAGGTTACAGTTTCCAATGGTTCCAGAACCAATAATCTTTCCTTTTTTATTTCCTCCAAATTTGACATCTCCTCTAGATTTAAGTTCCAGACTTTGGAACATAGAATTTCTTCCCGTCATATGTCACGAGCATCCAGAGTCCAGGTACCATGACTGGTGTTTCAACTGAGCTGTTAAGGACAACTACAACATAGATTATTTTCTCCTTAGGTACCCATTTCTTTTTGGGTCCTTTTTGGTTATAGTTTCTAAAGTTCTGGTTGAACTTTGATTTTGCATAAGAATTTTCAGAGTGAGAAGTGTATTTGATATCATGTGTGTGCCCAAAACTAAATTGTTTGTGTAGTGGTTTATATATGATAACCATTTCCTCAACATGCTTAGGTTTATATATTACTTTCCCTTTGGGAGCTTTATATCCAATATCTCTTCTGTCATTTCCACTAACACCGTAGATCATTGAAGCCATTCTGCTTCTATCTATGCTTTTAGCAAGAAACGTTTGAAAACTAGAGTCATATTCTTTAAGAATATCTTTTGAACTTGAAGAAGAATCTGAAATAGAGATCTTTTGAAATTTTTGAACTTCCTCTATGGGTTTAAAAATGTTTTCTTTAAGTTCAGAGTTTTCTGTTTCAAGTTTCTCAACATCAGATGCAAGATTCTTTTTGAGTTTCTTGTATTGGATTTTGAGTTTACTGTAGTTTTCAAGAAGTTCAGATAAGCTTTCAGCAAGTTCAATTCTAGAAAATTCAGAGAATACCACTTTTGGTTCTGAATCAGAGTCATCGTCATCGTCATCTACCGTGGTAGCCATAAACGCTAGATTGGCGTGTTCATCTTCTGAGTCAGATTCAGCTTCAGAAGATTCTGAATCATCTCAGGTGGCCATCATGCCTTTATTTCTTCCAAACTTTTTCTTTGGTCTTTCTCTTTGCAGCTTAGGAAAATCACTTATGTAGTGTCCTGGTTCTTTACATTCATAGTGGACTATATCTCTCCTTCTTGACTTCTTATGTCCAGAAGATTTTTGTTTATCTTCTTACCTCTTATAGTTTCTAAACTTCTTTTGTCTGTGCTTCCACTTCTGGTTGATCCTTCTGGAGAGAAGAGATAACTCATCTTCTTCTGATGCAGAATCTTCAGAGTTTCCTTCTTCTTCCTGAAAAGCGTTAGTCTCACATTTTAATAGATTTAAGGGCGACAAACTTACCTTTCTTCTGAGGCTCATGTTCATCAAGTTTTATCTCGTGACTTCTTAAAGCACTGATAAGTTCTTCAAGGGATACATCATTCAAATCTTTTGACACTTTGAATGCAGTAACCATATGTTCCCATCTTCTGGGTAAACTTATGATAATTTTCTTAACATGGTCTGCCTTGGTGTATCCTTTGTTCAGAACTCTTAGGCCAGCAATCAGAGTTTGGAATCTCGAGAACATAGCTTCAATAGACTCATTTTCTTCCATTTTGAAGGCTTCATACTTCTGGATGAGAGCCAGAGCTTTTGTCTCTTTTACTTGAGCATTTCCTTCAAGATTCATTTTGAGAGACTCAAACATGTCATGCGATGTATCTCTGTTGGTGACTTTCTCATATTCAGTTTTAGAGATAGCATTCAGAAAGATGTTCATGGCTCTGTGGTGATTCTTGAAATCTAACTTCTGTTGTTTATCCATGTTCTTTCTGTCAATCTTGTTTCTGTCTTTGTCTTCTGGATGAGTTTACCCATCTAGGACCAAATACCATATATCAGCTTCATGACCTAGAAAGAAACTTTCTAGTCTATCCTTCCAGTATTCAAAGTCTTCTCCATCAAACACAGGAGGTTTGGTGCAATTGTTGTTGTTTTGTTCAGTTGCCATAGTGTTTTCCTTCTGGATCTTTTTCTAACACTGTTAGGTGTTTGCACCCAGAACTAGAGCTCTGATGCCAATTGAAGGGTGAAAAGACACTTAGAAGGGGGGGGGGGGTGAATAATTTTTTCCTTTTTCTCGCGCAATACTAATGGAAGGACACAAATATTTTTATCCTGGTTCGTTTGAAACTCAAACTACTCCAGTCCACCCGCCAAGGTGATTTCGCCTCTCTCAATGAGGACTTAATCCACTATAATCAAACTGATTACAAATGCACAACCAAACTGTTGTGACTAACAATATAATGCACAAGCTAACTACAAGTGACTAACACCTCTAAGACTCAACTAGTCCTAGCCCTCTTGAGAAATCTGACCCAACTGGTCTCTCAAGGAACACTTACAAAATTATATCTTAATAGTAGTGAAACAGAATGCTTCTAATAAGCTTTATCACAAACTCTGATTTATCACTAAGATTGTTGCCCAATGCTTAAGATATACCCACTATATAATATTGGTTTACAAGTATGAAAATAATGAGCGTAAGGTTATTTCTCGTGGATCAGTAGCCTTTCTTTGAAACAAATGATCTTCTCTATATAGCTTTCAGTCTTGACTATTACTGCCTTGAAGAGAGTGTTTGCATTAATGAAGCGTGTTGGATTGGTCTTTATGTTTCCAATGTTCTCGTGCGAGTACCACTTGAGTGCTTTAGCCGTCTTAGCATTTAATGACCAACGATACTATTAGAACTTGTCTCTAGAAGTTTAAGAGTTTGCTTGCAGTGTTGCCACTTCAGAGTTTACTTTAACTATTCTTCTATCAGAGTATTCTTCACTTTATGTTCATCAGAGTTTGCTTCAGATTGCATTATCAGATGTTGCTTTCAGTGTGCTTCTTTTCAGATCTTCGCTTCAGCTAGCGTAATCAGAGTTTTCTTAGAATTGCTTTTCCATCAGAGTTTGCCTTGGAGTGCTTCCTTCAGAGTTTGCTTTGTCTTGCGTAAAATGATGTTTCTCTTTTGATATGCATGAGTCAGAATATCATCTGTATCTAGTGAACGTACACATCAGAGTATAAAGTATATTTTACAAAATTTATTTCATTGTTATCATCAAAACTCTAGGATATGGTTAAAACCAAACTTTGTTCTAACACTTTCAAACAAACTTTTCAAGCTAAAGTTTTCAAAAACTCTTTATCACACCCTTGAGGACTGATACAAGGGTTACCATAAAGTGAAACGCTGCACTAAGGTAAATTCAAAACTTTTTCAAGCACACAAACACACAAAAGCAATTTAAGAATGAGCAAGTAACTAAGATCCCATGGAAAACCATGGATAGAAAGGGTGCTAACACCTTTCCTTTCTATAATCTACCCCCCATACAAAAACATCTCAAAAAAGGTTTTTTCTGTTCTTTTTCCCTTTTCCTTTGTTGGATGAAATTAAAGTCGGTGGCGACTCTTGCTTACCGTACATTTGCGAACAAAAAACGCAAAACCAGTAGTAACAAAATAGTCAGTTCTGCCACCGTATCACAGAATTTGCGACTCTGTTGGGGATTTTAATAAAGTGGGGTTTACCTTAGGATCTAGGTCATCCTTAATTGCTTCTTTGGCTTGTCTTGCTTGATTTACTTTTAAGGGTATCTGTTTGGGTTGTTTGCATCCTAAACCTGGATCTGGGAATTCCTTTTAGGTACGTAGCAATAAACTGTGAGGGAGTTGTGCGGGGTATACCGACACAGTTGAAATAGTAGCTACGCTGATGCGATACTTTGGTGTGTACCAGTAGCCCTTGAGTAATCAAGGAGAATATGGGGCCGCTGCATGGTATCATAAAGCATTAACTGACCTTAGCACCTTAATTGACCAACTTGGATTTTAGGACGTAGTGAGATAGCCGTCTTTGGTGTAAACCCAAAGTCGGTTGATACTCGATACTACACTCATTGAGGTTTGACTCTTGAGTTTTGTTTGGTGGCAAGTCAATTATCTATCGGAACGAAATTTTGGGGAAAGATCGGTGATATTGAGATCCCTTAGAACCCGATTACTATATTTAGGACAAGTTGAACCAACCCAACTTCAAGAGGGTATTACCTTAAAATCCATGCAAGCCTTAAACCTAAGGTCTCTGTGTGATTTGTTTGTGTTTTCTATATTTAAGCATAATCATGACATCGTAACATAGCATATCATGATAACCATTTCAAGGATTCTTAGGGTTTAGTTTTGTCTTGTTTTGTAGGACATGGTCCTCGCCCGCAGATTCACTATCCAAGTAAGTCTGGTAAAGGCACCTCCTCAGCTTAAGGATTTAGTATCAAGGGTTCCTGAAAGCTCTCCCTTCACAGAAAGACATGGTCTACTTCTCATCTTGGTCACCTCAAACCCTAATGAAGAAATGTTAAAAGTGCTCTTTCAGTTCTTTGACCCTCTACATCACTGCTTCACTTTCCCGGATTACCAGTTAGTGCCTACTATGGAGGAGTTTTCTCAGTTACTGGGGGTTCCTATCCTTAACAAAGTACCTCTCAATGGTATGGAAATAGACCCTAAACCTGAAGATATTGTTAAAGCTTTGTCCTTACAAAGGTCTGACGTAGTAGAAAATTGGGAAACTAGGAAAGGTGTCAAGGTTTTTTTGGCTAAGTTCTTGTTTAACAAAGCTCATCATTTTTGGGATACCCTGGACTTACAAGCCTTTGAACAGGTGTTAGACCTTCTCATCTATGGGTTGGTACTGTTTACTAATCTGGACCAACTCATAGACGTGAATGCGGTTAAGGTTTTCCTGTCACGCAATCCGGTACCTACTCTGCTTAGAGATATCCTACATTCTCTGCATACTCGCACTATAAAGAGAAGAGGGACCCTTCTGTGTTGCACTCCTCTTTTGGCTAGGAGGTTTATTTCGCACCTACCACGATCCGTCTTGAAGATTGAACAAGGTTTGAGATGGTCTCATAGGCTAATGACTCTTACACATTCAGGTATTCATTGGTTTCCTTGATCCTCGGAGAATGTTACCATCATTGATCGATGCAGAGAGTTCCCTAATGTCCCTCTCTTAAGCATTAGGGGAGGAATCACTTACAATCCTTGTTTGGAACTACGACATTTTGGATATGCATGAACGGATGGTCCCTATGATACACTTATCCAAGGAATCATCTTCGACTATGAGAATGATGCTCAGGGTTACTGTAAAAGGTTCGTGCGAGCTTGGGGCATGGTACACAGAGTTGATAGCAAGACACTGGGGCACAAGAATTCCATCCCTCTTGAGCCTTATCTTAAAAGGGTACGAGCCCGTGCCTAAAGTCTTAAGATGCCTTACCCTGCCATCCTACCCATGATCATGGAACCGGTTGCTAAAGGAGACACTTCTTATCTTGTTCTTCATCCTGACATGCCAACTGATCATGAGGAGTTACAAAAATCATGGGTTCAACTTAAGGAAGAGCGGGATACGTTTGAAGCTCAATTCTATGCCAACGAGAAGAAAGTCCCGGAGCTCACTAGGCTACTTTACGAAGAGAGGAATATAAATGCCTACATTGCACCAAAGAGGATGCGCTCCTGGGAAACTTAATTTTTCTTTTTGCTTTAAGTTTTATTTTGTAAGCCTAAAGGGAACTCTTTGTAACAATGCAAACTTATTAATACAATTAACGTGTGTTTCTTTTGGTTAAGAAAATTTAAGCCTTTAAGAATCCTTGAAATCATTGCATACGCATATCATCCATGACATTGCATAAACAGGTTTCATAACAGGTTTCATAACAGGTTTCTCATCTTCTTCACTGTTTATTTCAGCAATAATGACTTTTGAACAAAATATCAAGGATCTCCAGGTACAAAATTCCCAATTTCAACAAATGTTCGTAGCTTTGGCTAAAGGGCAGGAAGATCTGAAGGCCCTTATTCTGAAAGAAAAAAAGAAGAAGGCGAAGAAGACCGCTGGTGTCCTGAATCTGGGCAAAAGATTCAAGGGTTCGTTAAATCAATCGGTTGATTTAACCTCTTCATCCAAATAAGGGGAGAACCAAGAGGGTGAAACAAGGGAGGAAGACCCTAGTCCAGAGGTTTCTGATGATGACACTGATTACAACGAAGAGCAATATCCCCCGGCTGAGGATAGATACAAACAGTTATAGGATTGTCTGAGCATAATGGAGATCCAAAGAGTACAAGGGCTGGATTTTGAGGAGCTGGGTTTGGTATCTGGGTTGTCATCCCGCTGAAGTTTAAGGCTCCGGTATTTGCAAAGTATGATGGGTTTTCTTGTCCCAAGATTCATCTCCGTTCTTATGTGAGGAAGATTCAACCTCACACTGTTGATAGGAGCTTGTGGGTCCATTTCTTTCGGGACAGTCTGTCCGGGACTCAGCTTAAGTGGTTCTATCAGCTGGAGGGAACCAATGTCCGCAACTGGGAAGATCTGACTGCTGCTTTTTACAAGCAGTATCAATATAATGCTGACCATGCTCCTACTCATACTCAACTCCAGAGTATGTCCATGAGTGCAAGCGAAGGTTTTAAGGACTATGCACAGAAGTTGAGAGATTTGGCAGGGAGAGTCTAAGCCCCTTTGTCTGATAGGGAGTTGGTGGACATGTTTCTGGGTACGCTATCTGGACCATTCTTCAATCACTTGATTGGTAGCTCCTCAGCTGGTTTTACTGAAATGATATTGACTGGAGAAAGGGTAGAAGTTGAGATTCAAAGTGGCAAGTTCCAAAAAGACACCTCTTCAAGTACAGTGAAGAAGCCATTCACGGGTAAGAAGGAGGTCAATGCTATTTATAA